AAGCTTTCATTGCTGCACTTTATATAGACAAGGACCTGGAGTACGTCCACACGTTCATGAATGTCTGTTTCTTTCCCAGATTGAAGGTAAGTACTGCTTTATCTGCAGGTCAGCTGACACCATCAAGACCATCTCATAAAGTAATAATAATAATAATTAATAATTGCTTACACTTATATAGCGCTTTTCTGGACACTCCACTCAAAGCGCTTTACACTTAATGGGGACTCCCCTCCACCACCACCAATGTGCAGCATCCACCTGGATGAAAATAAATGTATTTTATGTTTTAATAAATAGTATTATAGAGCAACAATGTTAGTTTAAATGCTCATTGAAATTCTTTGTATGTGGAAAACAATTCCTGAGACATAGAAAGCTAATGAGCAATATTTTAAAGTTAAAAGCAACCTCTCTTTCATGTACAGGTATGCTTTTATGGGAAATGTAAATACTATTTATTAAAAATTAAAATACATTTATTTTTGCAATGAGTGATTAGATGTACTACAATTTAACTCTGCTTTTATTAAATCTTTGGTAATGTAGATCTATGTATTTACACCCCATCTTATTGAAAGTACTAAATAATTTTGGAAAGTGGTACTTTGTACAAAAAAGCTGACCATTTTTATTGAAAAACTTAATGTCTTGTGTTCTTTCTAATACCAAACAGTTCAGTTTTTCACATTAAAATGTGTAGAGTATTGGGGATAAGAAATAACAACACTTTTGAGATAAGTCGGAACTGGGCATGTATTTACTTCTCCTGTCTCCCAGATCTGTTTTTAGTACAGCGTTGCTTTGTCAGTTCATCATCACTTTTTTTCATCTGTCGGCCTAAAATCGTTTTGCCTTTTCCCCCCTAACAGTGTAACATGAGCAAGTCAGTCTCTTTGGGAGAGTTATTTACTGCTTCTTCAACAGCTGAACTCTGTGGGAAGCCTCTTGTGTTTTGTTTATTTTAATATATTGGTAGCCTCATTAACAAGCTGAAATCTGTTTTTTTTTTAACTGTACTAAAAGTACATCACTGTATTAAAAGTACAGTTAACATGTTTAGTTTAACAAGTGTTAAAACTGATTGGACTTTATTCTTTTCTCCCTTTGTAATTCGATGTAACCAGAAAAATACTCCATTGGCACACAAAGTAGAATTTTAAGAGGGAGGATGCTTCCTCTGGAGGAAAAATGAGAAATCCTAGAAGAGATCTTCTCTTTGTAGAAAATTAATAGGAACAGACAGTTCTAAATTCAAAGTCCTATTTTATAACAAGGCTGCTTTTCTGTTAATGGAAGTGCTTTTAGCAGTCTCCTTGGAAAGCAGAAATGTATCAAACCTAGACACCTGGGAACCCCAACCCTCTTTTTATTTAGGATGGAGTAGCAGGGTGTGTTTAAGTAGCTTGTGATTTATAGTCATCATGAGGTCTTTCTGAAGGATGAGTATGTTTTTGATGTGATTTTTTTTTATAAAGCTGAAAGCTTTTCAATTTAATTTTGTATTCCTATAGGAGTTTATACTAAACCAGGACTGGAATGACCCTAAATCCCAGCTACAGCAATGTTGTCTTACACTCCGGACAGAAGGGAAAGAGCCCGATATTCCTTTGTACAAGTAAGCTTTTTTGTAACAATTTGTCTCTTAAGATCTTTTTTTTTTGTTGTTGTTTTTTTTCCGTTGCCCACATAAGTCTTAGAAGTCAAACGCAGAAATAGCCTTTTGGTTGTGTATTATTGAAAATACATCACAGTTTTTGGAGCAAAATGGAATACCGTGCGAGTCTCGGGAGCATTTGGTTTTTTTTCCTGTCTAACCTTGCCAATCATTCCTTTATAAGACTGACTTGCTGAAAAACTGAATAACACCCTGGAGATCCCTCTGTTATGCCGATAAATACACAGTTCAAAAAGAGTCTTTATCATTGATTTGAGAAAGTTCAAGGAGCAAGTTTTCATTTGATAAATTGCACGTTGGTTTCACAGTGGAGCATGTATTTCTATGGCAACTAAAATTATGTTTCTTTAGAATCACAAAAAAGGCTGAAAGAATGTAAGAAAAAATAATTGGATTGATGGAAGGGGGAGTAGAGGGATGCCAAAAAGATACTCAGCATTTCTGTTATGTTACTGCAGTATTTCCAAACCCCTGGTACTCTGTGGGCACTTATTCACACACTATCTGTGAAGGTCCAGCCAAATAAACCTGACTGAACTGCACACTCAGCAAGTCCTGGGAACAAGGACTTCAGATGTAGCACAAACAAAGCATTATTGTTTTTGTTTGTAGACACCAAGTAGGCTTTTGAATCTTGAGCGTATTTTAATCATAACAAAGTTTATTTTTAGAAACTGAAAAACCTATTGAAGGCATAAGAGACCATCAAGTACTCTAAAATAGAAAATGTTATGAGAATTTAAAATAATTTTATTTTTTTTTATATATGTAATTGTGCATCGTCTGCAATTAAATGCAAAATAGTAATGTACTCAATAAATATCTGTACTTATTTTCATTGTATTTTTTGTGTTCGTCTATTTATATTTATGATCATCATATACTTTTTCCCCTCTCTCATACTCAGTTTGAATCATCAATTGCCAGTGTAATAAAATTTTAATTTGAATTCCTTATAAAAGGCTGTTGTGGTTGGATTCAGAGTTCAGCAGGCATTTTTCTTACTCTCTCATGGTGGTTTTCTACAAAAGGGCTGTTGAGACCAGATTTGTATATTAACTGCCACAAGGCTTCTCATTTGTAAGTGAGAAAATAGATTTAATTTATTAATTAACAAGCATTAAATTAATTAAGGTTTTAGGTTTTAATATCCCATTAAAAATGTATACAGATCTTTCAATAAGTATAAGGACTTGAATTATGTAGGCAGTCTGAGTCCAGGGCTTGCCTATATTTTAAAAAAGGTGAATTGACATTTTGAAACCTTTCTTCCCCTTAATGCTAAAAAAAATAAATAATTCTTTGCAAATATAAAATACACACTGCTGTATGACCTGCAGCAACAAAAATCAAACCAGTTGCTAATTTGGGTTTTTTGAATATACAGGACAATCTATAACAAGAATAGTAAGAATGTAGCTAAACTTAAATACTGAACCTTAAATACAAAACCTTTGGCCTCCTTTAGGCAAAGCACGCTATGTGTAATGTTCTGTTTAATATACAATTAAAATACTTACCCTGGTGTTGTTTTCTTGCAGGACTCTGCAGACTGTGGGACCTTCACATGCTCGAACCTACACTGTTGCCGTGTACTTTAAAGGAGAACGAATAGGATGTGGGAAAGGACCAAGGTATAGATTATATAAAGCTATACATAAGCAAATTGTTCATTCTGCAAAACCTGAACAAGAATCATTTTTGAGTGTGAAACATTTTCCGTTTCCTCTTGTAATTCTCAGGAATCATGCTACTCAGTTTTTTTTTGTCGTTACGATGTAGTTTCATTTGCTTTTTTGTGAATTTTAATTGAAACATGTTTGTTCCACTACAATTTAGGGTCATCTATAGTTAAATAATGTACTTTTTTAATGCTTTAATTAATTGATGATAAATGTTAAGATAATTTGTTATTGATATGACATTCAATGTTTGTTGAATGATTTTAAAACAGCACTTTAATCATGGTCTTAACAGTATGCATGCTGAAATAATATTAGAAGGAAGTTAATTTCATGAAAATATTATGTGCATTTCATAACTGAGTTTTTAAAACTGTTTATTTTAAGATAGTATGTTAAAATGGCAAACACAAGATAGGTATACTTTTTCAGACATTTTCTCTAACTTAATGACTCACTAACCCACCTGTACAAACGTGTGTTACGCTTTTACTGAGGAGGAAAAATGTAGTAAAGTAGAATGCTATATTAAATGAGTAGACACAAATTCAACAGCCTTTTTTGTTACCTCTCATTTTATCTTTAACTTTAAAGCTGCAAACAGGTTTAAAGGTTCAGAACTCCAAAGATTTAATATATTAAAGTTTTTTTCAAATGCTTACGTTAGTCAAGTTACAATGATTGTATGATTGCACGTTCTTTTTAATCTCTGAATATTTAAAAAATGCACTGTCTACACAGAGTGCACTCAAAAAGTTAATCCTTTCCTTGTGTATTTTGTGTTAGAATATAAAATATTTTATACTGCTTAAAAAGTGCTTTTTAAAACATACATTTTTAATCTTGCTATCCGTGGCATTTTCATACCGAATGTGACCAGGAGGCTTTAAAATGCACTAACGTGTTATCCTTTTTTTTAAAAAAAAACAGCATTCAGCAAGCTGAAATGGGAGCTGCAATGGACGCACTTGAAAAATGTAAGTTGGTTGGTGAAAATAATCTCATTATTCTTTTAAGTGTCTTCCTTTTTATAATGCCCTCTTCTACTTTAAACATTCCATCATCAATTTAAAACTGCCCTTGGGAGGCAGCTCTGTTGCCTGTCCTGCCAAGCTGAATATTTATAATGTAGCTTTTTAAAAGGCAAACAGTATAGCTCAGATTCATGTTCTACCAGATTTATGCATTGGAAAGTAAAGAAAGGGCCCTTTGGCATGCAAATAGGTGAAAATATTATTAAAAACAGTTTGTTAACAATTTGAACATGGCTAGAGAAAGGAATTTGATTACACAATGACTCTTTACTTGGTTAAGCACAGGCATTGAAAGCACTAGCTTATTAAATTTAGATAGGTCCTCTTAAAATACTACTTCATTGAAATCTGTTTTCCACACTCCTGTTTTTCATATTGCATTATCTTTTTAAATTACACTTTGTTGTCATCGTTTTTGTTTTTCATTACTTGAATGACCTTTTTCCTCTTAAAACTTGAATGAAGGTTTTGCTTAATTCTGCTTTTTCGAAAACTAAATCAGGACTTAGAGGTGATAAGAGGGAAAAGAGGATGATGGTGAACGCTCATTTTCACCTGCTGCCTCCTAATGAGGTTCTTTTTAGTAAGAAGAATAGAACTGTGCTTTCTCAACTGGGAGTCCAGTGAGAGTACTGCAATTAGTGCTTTACGAGTGTGGAGCTGCTTAGAGATGGGTGCACCTGTCACACCAGTCCCAGACTTCTGTCTGGTCTCAACGCTATTGATATTCTAAATGAAATATGATTTTTTTAAAAGAGCAATTTTTTTTTTACCCAACCTGCAGTACATTTTTCAGTTTTTCAGAAATCACTTAGATGAGAGAGAATGCACACAAAAACACATCTTTGTAAATAAGGACAGTTGACTTTGCTTACTGCATTCTTACCTTAATCCTATTTTTCAAGTAGACAACTGTCAAATTGATTGAGCACTATTTGTTTGTTCTAAATGAGGATTTCCTCTTCATAAATTGCGGATTTATGTGACTAAATTAGATATGCCTTCAGAAAGGTCATTTCATTTGAAATCATCTATCACTGGAGTTTGACTCATTACAAGTGGATTAAGTGTGTATTTGGTATAATGCTTAAATAAATAAAATGTGTGGAGCTTTGTATTGCTTTAGAGTTGCATGGATGCCTATGCTGTCTTGCTGTAACACAATAACTCATGAACAAGATTCATCATTTCTTTGTGAGTTCTTGTCACAGTTCATTCATTAATAAGAAAAACATTTATGCCTGTCTGAATGGATGAGATATGGAAACAGCACCTGCATGCTGATTATGTAGACACTTAGGTAAACAAAGGCTATACTTGAATCTCTCCTGCTGAAGAGTATAGCAGGAAAATGAGTTGCACTTAACTGCTTAATCAGCTTTTGCTTCATTCTCACAAGCATATTTGAAGAGTTAATTTGTTCACGTTATTGTTTTGGTTGTTCTAAAGTGCCACGTTAGATTTTTAAAATAGATTTATGTTAAAATGTATTTTTTCTAATGTATGTACCCTGTTATGTACTTCTTAATACAGACAAGTATCAGGTACTGTATTTCACTGTATATAGGTATGTAAAATATATGTGGCAGATTAGAAAAAATGATTTTATTTTTACTTTATTTTTTAACTGTTGTGAATGTTAGAAATACTTTAGACACTTTTCTTAACTGATAGAGCTTTAATTTTGAGTTTTGGATATTCGATATCCAAGTTGCTAGGCTTCATGAAAGCTGCTTGTATATAACAGTCTTCTTAATTGTGGATTGAAGTGCCTCCAGCTAAGGTTTTGCATCATGCAATCATTAAAAGGTACTGTAGGTCAATTGGAAACTTGCATTCAGAGCCTCAAAGCACATATCCATAATGTACAAATGCAATACTGTCTCTTGAAAGGGTTTCAGGATAAGGCACAAAGAGATCACCACATCGCTTTTCATTGCTTGACTTAACTTGTGCTACATCCTGCACTACAAAAGACAGCAGCAAAGACATTTCAGAGCTATTTTGTCTTATTTTTATATCTTCGGAATGTAAGAGAATTCCAGCACATTACATGGCCCTTAACGTGATACCATTTAAGATTACTTTGATTCAGCTATTATATGAGAAGAACCTTTTAACAGTCTCCTGTCCTTATAAAAATGAGAACTGTTCTGAGAACCATCAGGCCAGTGTTCTTATTTGTTTGCTCATTTGGTTGATAGTAAGGTAATGGGCCTCAATCTGTTTCTAGATGGTTCCCAGTTGGGCTCGGTTATTGTGGGACATTTAAGATTTAGTGTTTTAATTTCAAAATTGGGTCAGGTGTATTTGTGACCATTGGATGTCTTTTGTTACAACTAAAAGTTGGAGGAAGGACATTCCATAACAAAGGGGCAATGACAGAAAAAGTGGATCGACATTTAGTCCTGGGTACAGTGAACAGAGGACCACCCTCAACTGGGCCTACAGGAGGGGAGTGTAAGCATGTGTAATGGAGTCAGATTATTTAAAGCCTCAAAAGTCTGTAACAAGATCTTTTATTGAATATGTGACTTTATAGGTAACCAATTTAAAGACTTAAGAGTATGAGTGGTATGCTGCCAAGGTCTGGTGTGAGTTATAAGTCTAGCTACAGAGTTTTAGACATATTACAGCTAGGCTAGACACCAGCTTTCTCCATATGCGTGTGAAAAGGAGCATACGTTCATTATGCTGTTTGAGAAATATGTGGTTTTGTTGCACCTTCAGTAATTATACATAATTATTTCAGCCAACTTTGACCTTTTGAGTTTGCTAGGTTAATGTTCCCCCTGACTGTTTAATTTAATTTTTTGTTTGTTTGTTTGTTTGTTTGTTTTACTCACATGGTTTTTTTTCATGTTTCTATTTATGGATTTCAGAACATACCGTATGTATACAAAGCTCCAGTATACAACATGATTGAGAGATATTTTCAAAATCAGATGGATAGTCACAGAGCACGGATCATACAGATTAACTAGCAGAATGAATGAATAGGTAGCAGAGAACATAATTTTTTTTATAGCAAAAGGTAACAGGCAGGCCACAAGATGACCTTGAAACTGTATGTGCTTCTTTTTTTTTAATCTGCAAGTCAATGCTTTACACATTTTTTAGGATCATTTGGTTTCCTGTCCTTTGATCTCCTGTGCTTTGATACTAAAATTTGTTTTGTACCAATGCTGTATTTTGTCTAGAAGTTCTACTGAAACAAGTCTTTTGAAGAAATAGCTAGTTACTGGATGGCAGCCTTGGGATTTACATGTGCTGTACATCACTGTACACTGCTGACAAGCCCAGATAAAGCGGACCAGACAGAAACAATGGAAGCTCAGCAATTTATCAGCGCATGATGGCCACGTTAAAAATTAACTTGAAAAGAAATGTTGATCTAAATCGGATCTGACATCAAAATCTTGCAGTACAAATTACGTCTTTCAATATTAAGAGCATCTCACTGCGATACTTTCTTTCATATATATGCCCTTTTACTTTATTACATATTTCTGTCCTGTTTGTTGTATTCTGAAGGCTTCACTGAGCTCCCAGTGCTGGCGTGGTGTTCTCACATGACAGAAAGGAAAAGGCTTAGTGAGCCAGGAAGCCAGAGTGGTACAGCAGCCAGCTCTGGGGTGATGGGGAGAATTGCTTCTCTGCAGAAATTGATTGCAGTGTGCTCCACAAGAAAGCTGGAGAGGTAGCTTTTTCATGTAAAGCAGCAAACAGGAAAAAAATATTCAGAAGTTACATCCTTTATAGATTAAAGATTTGTTTTTGTTTCTTCCATCGAAAATCGTCTATGTCCATCGTGCAGACAGTTAGTCAACATGTGATTACAGTTGTGCCATGGTACAGTTTTTTTGTGGGAGAAATTACTATGTTCCGCTGAGTCAGCACCCATGTTAGACCAGTTGTTCTCCCTCAACTTTGAAATTTTCTCCTGACTTTAATACTGTTTCAGACCCTTTTAGCCAATGTCTGCCTGGAATTTCCTCCCCTTAAACATTTTGTTATATCTGTGCAGCAGAACACAACAGGAGCCTGGTTCAGGTCTTAAATTGAAGCTAACCCCCTTGGCTTTGAGTGTGAACAACTTCCTTTTATTTCTTAATGTCTCAGTTCAACAGACAAACCTATAAAAAAACAAACAAAAACAGCAGGCAAAACATTTTTTGGTGTTCAGAGGTCATAATTTTCCATTTTGGGCCTGTCTGGTAGCTGAAAATGCTTGTAGGCCTTGTCCTGGGTGTCTATGAGCTTGGATAAAAATCTGGGACAAATTGATCAATTTGAAAAAAATCTACATAATGTTTTGTGAAGACTGGACCTGGAATGAAATTTCTCACATCCCCCCCCAAAAAAAGTTATTGAAAGCAATAACAATGAAAGCCATTACAATTGGTATAAAATTCTTTAGACACTGCTACAGGGCCCTTTTCTGCTGTTAGGCATTCAAAAAAAAACCTTAGAGTTGCCTTCTGTTGTGAAAAAATGGACCATTGGCAATCATCTTCTGAGTCAGTGATTGACAGCTAGAATGCACGTGGAATATAGCCAGAGGCTTCCAGAGGAAGTCTCATCCCCTTAGGGCTCTAAATGGCTGAAAATACAATGAATGACAGCATTTTTCGCCAATCAGATCACCTTATATTCAGGCAGTCCAGTATCAAATTTCTATTCCAAAGCCAATAACTTTCAGTTTGCTCCAGGTCTTGAGTTGGGTTAGTCTAGCCTTTTGTTTGTGGATATATATCGTACTTCCGAATAAGCTAGAAAAATGGGATATATTCTTTTTTTGCTGGTTTTTGCTTTTGCAGTCATGCTTTGCTGGCTTATTGATTACCTTATCGATGCACTGTGGAAGTTTGCTGAAGTGCATCATCAGATAAGAAGTGTCCTTGTGATTGATTGCCTTGGTGTTTTTCGGTTCTGAAAACGGTTTTGTAAAGCTCTGGTTGTCCTTTTTCAATTGAGAACAGGTTTTGTGGTTTTGTCGGTGAAAAAAGATGAAATATGACTCAGGTCTCAAAAGTAAATATTGACTTAGCCCGTGGTCACTGGCCGTAACGAAGCGCACAATTGTTTTTTGATTGATGACCTTGGTGTTTTTCGGTTCTGAAAAAGGTTTTGTGAAGCTCCAGTTGTCCCTTTTTGATTGATAAAAGGGTTTCTTTAAAGGTTTTGTGGTTTTGTTGATGTAACACGATGAAGTGAGACGCGCGTCTTAAGTAAATATTGACTTAGGCTGTGGCCGTGTGCGACCACGCTGGGTAGAACTAGATTAATGATGCATGTGAAAGTGCCTGAGGAGAACTGGAATCAAGACTGAAGTTATTCTACTGACTGTTAGGATTGAAACTGACTGTGATTACATCTTATAAAGCAGAAACACACTCAAAAGCAATACTGTGGGTGGGCTTACATTTTTCTTGGGAAATATTGGATTACTTAACCATGAATTAATTAGCAGTTAATTGAGCTGTTTTGAAAAGCTGAGAGTCTTTGTTAATCTTTTTCTGTTTTTAATGATATTCATGAATATAAGGGCTGTGGGATGATACTGTAGATACGGTGATAGAGCAAACCGTGCAGGTACAGAAAGTGCGTTAATGTATGTTTAGTTTTAAGTGTATATCTTCTCTTGAAAATGCAGTAAAAGTCTTGTAATTAAACCTACAGCCCAAGTAGAAATCTTGGTGAAAATGTCTCAATTTAATTATAGTTATAAGTTACTTCCAAATATCATGCGTTTAACTTTATCATTGTGGTAACTAAATATGCTCTTATTTTCACATCTAAAATAGGCTTTCTGGGGTTCTGTTGCACCCACTATCATTGTTATTTTTACAGCATCATGGGTGTTATGTCATGTTAACTGTAACTCCCTCTCGTTTACAACTCACAAAATGACTACATTTCTATTGCCCTACAATGAGTCAGCCGAATTCCAGTATAAGCCGTTCTGTTCAGTATTGAGAAATTAAGGGCTCCAGGAGCCTACACACTTTGCAGTCAGATTGAAAAGATCGCATGAAATAAGGATATGTAAGTGTTTGTCGTCGTGGCCAGAAGTATTTATCATTGCTTGTGCAATCAGTAATTCAATCAGGATTTATAACCTTTTTCTCAGTGAAGAGCAGTCACTGCACCTTTAATTAAAAAAGAGCAGTAATGAGAAGGCATTGTAAAAAAATGGCACCACCAGGATTCTGTGAATCCTAGAATGTTTTAATTAGTTTGAACTGTGTTTAATTGTCCAAAAATTAAATTGATGAGATGTAAAATATATTCATAAGTATTTAATTATTTTGATTGCCGATGAAAAATGTAAATATTTAGAAATCTTTCTAATTGAAATAGATAATGAAAGTCAGTAGTTTTCTGGGTCTGCATGTTTCCGTACTTCACAAGAACTGACTGATCAGAAAGTTCCAAACATTTGTTTTAATTCCAGTAATTAGAGGAGCCATTTAAATTCATTTTTGTGAACTAATAATTAAAAACCGCAGATCACTACAATTATTTTCTAAAACCACGATGAGGTCTACCAGTGAATTCAGACTGCACTTCAGTTTTTATATTTCTGCTGTGCTAAGAGTACTTGGGCTTTGAGATTTGGTGGATGGTGAGATATTTTTTTAGATCTGTTCTAATGTGTTCGTTTAAAAATTTTATGGACTATGTAGTCTTTTTATTTCCATTTTGTGTGTTACAGGCAAATTATTTGCAACAGCTTTCCCTCAAAGAGCCAGCTAGAAGTTGAGTGTGTCTTTCTGCACTACTTACTGTCCTCTGCTTATATCTGACATCTCTTTTTGCACCAGATAACTTTCCCCAGATGGCTCATCAGAAGCGCTTCATTGAGCGGAAGTACAGGCAAGAGCTAAAAGAAATGAGACGAGAGAGAGAAAGGCAGGAGAAGGAGTCCGATGAGACAGAGGAGAGCAAGAAGGAAGCGGAGCGCCCTGGAAGTGTCCATTAAGCTTGCTCCCATTTCTGAGCTCATTTCTGGCCAATCTGAGGAAGAAGGAGAACACAAGTGATCACGAGCCTGAGGAAGCTATAAATATTGTTTTGTTTCTGTTTTGCGATATGTGTCATTGTTTTATTGTATTAAGGTAATGTGTTTTCTCTGAAGTGTCATTGCTATTAGTGTTTTATTTTTTAAAAAAATCCAATTTCATAATAAATAATGGCAAACGTGGCTTTTAAATATTTTCTGCCTCATTTTTCAAACATTGAGTCTTTGTTCATTGTGAAAGAAAGTAAACATTAGGCAACACCTATTAATTATTTTTTTACTCTTTTAATTTGTTGATTTCACATTACAAATAGTTTTTTTCTCTTGAACACAACTTTTTTTTCATAAAGCAAACTGTGCATTAGATTGGAACACCACTAAATACATTCCCTCAACGTTGTTACAAAAGTGAAGTGAACAATGAGATTTTAAAAACAAGCAATGAAAGTCCATTGCAGATATTATGCTTAAAAGATGCATCATGTGTCACCAAGGGTAATGCACCAAGTTTGTTTTTTGTCACTGTTAAAAATAGTGCCCTAAATCATAAAGTCATACCCCTGTATAACACCTTTATACATTAAACTCCATACCAGTTCACACTATTCAGTATGCACCTTAAAGACAAAAATATACCAATTCAAAACTGCCTTAAAATGGCTTAGGCTGAATGGACTGAAGGTGATGCATATAAAGTCACCTTTTCCATTTTTATACAAATTATGCTGAGGATCAATCACAGGCTATGCATACTTTATGTTGAGAAGCACTTAAAATAAAAAATGCATGGCATAATTACCTGGTGAGGTTCGGAGAAGCACACTTGTCTGCAATCTTACCAAAAGCAATTATATGCTACCCTAAGGGAAGTATCTGCCATTGGTGGTGCAGTTCGTATTCTTTAGTGATTGCATGATATGAATAAGAATGCCTGAGAACCACATCCTAGCTCAACAGGTTATTTAAAAAAAATCATATTTCATTTCCGGACCCTCAAGGCATAGGTGCACTCCTGAATCCTATTGAAAATGGCATGCTTGCAGGTAACTGATATTATTCTTAAAGGAATCCGTACATTGTAGTTAGTTTGACTTCACAATTGCCTACAGGCCAGTGTGAAAATTGATGCAAGACTATAATGGTACGGTACAGTACATCTACAAGTACGTTTTGCTACAGCAGTTCTTTCATTTAAGTTTTCTTGTTTATTTTTGTTTGATAAGAGATTTGTTATTTAATTGCAATCCACTTCTGTTGATTCTGCTGTATACCCAGTCAACAAATATCAATGTTTTTAACTCCTGCTACTAACTGCCACAAAAAATGTATGTTATCTTATCAAAGAGAACATAATATGTCTAAAATCAATTCTAAAGTGTTGGCATTGGTGCACTGTCATAAACAATTATGAAGGGTGAAGGAGCTGATATGATTCAATTACTATTCCCTTTTTCTAAAATGCAGCCATCTGTCTCACATCTGGCTTTTCTAAAACAATTTTAAAATGGTTTGCTTCTTCTAAATCTGATTTCCAACGAAAAGATTATAGATTATTTCTAATTAGTAACTGCATATAATCTCAGACTGAAGCTGACCAAGACCTGATCATTTACAAAGCAATTCACATTAAGGTCTGCTCTGCCTCTGTAGGCAACGGTATTTTGAAACCCTTACTGTTGTCATCAGAAAAAAAGGCAGAACAAAAATTTTCTTAAAAAGATTTATTATGTTTTAATTATTGTGAACTTTTCATATCATGAGATGAGTTATATTGTCCATATTTTTCACTTAGACTTACAGTACAAGTGTTACATTGCGTGTTATCATTGTGTTCTAAAAAAAAGGATTATCACGTAATGTCATAGAAATATTTGGTACAAAATATCACTTTGTACAAAGCAAATAAATGATGCATGTTTATTATAGGCTTCTGAAAAGCACTGCACAAAACCTCTGATTTCATTCAACAATGACAATAAAATAATTTGTTAGTAACACAACACCGATATAATGGTGAAGAATAACAAATGGGCCAGCCACATCAACATTACAGAAGATTAAAATGTTTAGACCTAATATTCTATTTTTCAAAACAAGTTCAGAAATTGAAGCTCACTTTTCTGGATTATGGGTATATGCTCCCTATGTTCTGAAAAATTATATATTTTTATTTCAGAAACCACACTGATTTTTGAAGGCAATCACAATTTAAAAGAAAAAAAAAGTCTTAATGTTTGATTAGTTATAGAGTATAGGCAGCACAGTTAATTAAAATGCAATTTTTAAAAAGCCCAATTTTTTATTGTTTAAAAATTAAAATCCTTCAAATGTAAACTTCATGTAATTCAATAGCATGAGCTAATTCAAGTTTTATTTTTTTTTGTCAACACTGTAGTCACACATGGAAATCTGGAAACATTTTGTCGCAGCAGAACTCAATCTTTTATATAGAATAATAATAATACATCCCATTTTGACACCATTTGCTCAAACAGAAATAGAAAATACACAACTGCAAAATGGGAGTTCAAGTGCAAAAGAACAGTCTTTAACTTGCTTAAAAAATTAAAAAAAAAACATTTGTGCCATTTTTAAGATTGTCTAAGCTACTGTTAAATCAACTCGCAAGAAAGCATATGAAGAAATATTCAGAAAACGATACTTTACATGTTCATTGGTTTTTTTCATTATTTTATGGGACTTACTTTAGGGTAGAAAATGCCTTGAAAATGTACATGCAGGATATTGGTGGAAAAATGTCTAATTATTTATATTTATTGGACAGAAAAGAATCTCTTAATGTGGCCTGTGGGTAGTGATTAGATCACAAAGACAGGGACTTTGATTTGGTGTGCATTTGTGTGAACTGTTCCACTTTTTTGCACCACGTTTCAGTAGTACAGTGATAGTTTACATACAGAATGTATCCATTAGTCCAAGATACTGTATATGTGGTCTTACAGATGCTCTCATTTTCTCAACTTGGTCCCTAGTTTATCTGGAATGGTTTGTTTGTGGTGATTTGCTGTCTCACACATGAACACCATCGTCCTTGGAGCTTTTTAACACTGTTGCAGCTGCATGTATCAAGGAATCTTTCCATCCATCAAAAGATAAAATCTCTGAGCCCGCACAGTGCTATTCATGTGACCTACTTACAGCAGGACGTTCTTTGCAACAGTGCTGGAATATGTACATTATGCTTCACAATGACAGCCTTCCAGGTAAAACTGCTGGATGCTAGTTGTGGTCTGTGTTGCAGTATGATGGAAGACCCTGAGAGAAATTGCTCAGGATGGCAATCTGAGCCGTGAGAAAAAAAAATAATGACAAATGTAACGGGATAGTCTTGTATAGACAGTACAACATTTTGTATAATGCATTTAATGGGCCACTGTTGCTTTAAATATGAAGTTATTTCACAACAAACAATTCAAAGTGGCATTCTAATTTGTCCATAAAAGCTTTGCTTTATTACATTTCAGTCATTTATTATACACTAATAGTTTGGTCCTCACCTTCCCCTTAATTAATTCAATAACATACCTGAAACTGTAATCCAAAAACCATTGATACTGTAATTCAGAAAAGTAAAAACAAGTTGCTAGATCATCAGCTTCATATGACTTTAATCATAAAGTCTGTCAGCAGGAATCCATATGTATGTGTCAAAGCTCTATCAAAGCCAAACCGGAATTTTCAAGGGATTTGTTTGTATCAGAAATGCTTAAAAAAACAATACAGCAAGCTGTACTTAAGGTACAGTGAACATAAGCTAAGACAGGACCTGCAATATTCAAATATATCTCAGAAACAAGATAAATATGAACAATAGTGGATGTAAGTTTATAAAAATTCCTGCCCTTCCACAGCATGTCTGAATGGGCAGCTTAAGAAAGAAAAAAAAAATTAAGATCAAACTGAACACAGCAAAGCAACTTGAAGAAATGTATCTATCCAGAAATGGCAGTTTCGTAAACTGCAGACTGAAACCAGATCCTCCAACCTACTGCTTGTTCACCATGGATTCCCAAGGATTGGATGATTACTGTAAAAGGGCACTTTGTAGAACAGTGGCTGCATTATCGTCCGCGCTGTTTGATGGTCACGTTCTGCGCCAGTGCAGTATTGTTCTCCCCGGTATGACAACTCAAGTTAGGAATCTCTGTCACTGTCCTCGCCCCCATACATCTCTGCCAGTTTCTTAAATCGGGGCCCCCACTCGCTGAGGTAATTGTAGTCTTGATCCCCCTCTGTGGTTGCCGACTCCAGAGAGCTTAGGGATTCAGCTACGGAGCCGTTGCCTTCATAGGCGTACGTTGCTAAGGAGTCATAAGGAGGAGCAGCTGGGTCTGTGTCGTTTTCTTGCAGCCTTTGGTTTATGAAGTCTCTGACGTCTGCATTATCCCGGGTGAGCGCAGTTCGTCGAGAAGGGTAAAGAGATTCTGGAATGATATCCCTGCGCTGCTTGTTATCCTCAATGGCTTCGGGATTTCGCAGCGTCCCAATATCAAAGGCCTGGGTGTCCTCTTCACCACCCCCTTCATCGTTGTAGCTGACAACGTTGTCTCTGACGTCTTCCTTGGAGATGATCAGAGGCTCCTTTTTCTTCTGCCTCCTCAGGGCAGCAAACAAAACCACTATAACTGGAGACAGAGAAAGAGTTGCTGTTACTTCCGCAGTGTTTCTGTGCGGTGGTTTGCTTTAATGAAAATTGGATTTAAAAATGAAATGCAGTTGGAAATTACTTATCCCTGGAAATAATGTCATAGACTAAAACCTAAATTGCAATGCAATAATTGCCAGTGATGTGTTATGTTGCATGTACATTGCAGCTAGAAAGACAAATGGATGTTAGCTCTTGAAGTGTGCTAAAAAATTACAGAATTAAATAGCAAATGCTGTGTAGTCTAACTGGCAAATGCATAGAATTCCAATGTAACCATAGTGCATATCCAATCAATTTCCAGCCCTTTTCATGACATTGACAATATGAAAAGTATCTGTGTTAGGAAAGGTCACTGTGAAAATAGATGTAGTACTTACTGAGAAGAATAATGATGCAGAGCAGGATGGCAACTAAGGCCCCAGTGCTGAGTCCAGCAGGCAGCATCTGAGCTTCAGCATTGCAGGATTGCATATTCCCCTCCTTGTCACAGGTGCACACACGAACAGTCAGTGTGTTTGTACTGCTCTGCATGGGGTAGTCCCCATCCGATATCACCACAGGCAGAAGGTAGGTACTTCTTTCCAGTCGACTAAACCCACTTCGCCTTGTAAGGATTCCTGCAGTGTTGTCTGCAGTAAAATATTAAAAAGAGAGCACAGGAAACACAAAGTGGACCTATTATTGCCTTCAGTCTTTTTTCAATGACTGCTTTCCATACCTTGGTAGGAAGTTGAATAGTGTAGATTTCAGTCAGGGAATACAATTACAGATCCAGAATACTAAACCATACAAAGAACAAAAAGGCTTCGCAAAACATCTTGTTTCAAACTAAATACACGTTTCTTTTGATCAATACTAGTGTGCAAATGAGCACTGAAGTAAATCTAATTGCATCTCATTTTCATTTTGACAAAGTCCTTGGTGGTCTCAGTTATAATTTGAGATTGACCAATATCCCTACTCCAAAACTCTCACAGACACTGTAAATATTAAGCAACAAGCAATATTACAATGAAAGCCTACAAACACATACAATTTCTTCATTAAAAAAAAAACTAATGTCCTGAGTTTTAATATTTGTCTTTCTATGAGTACCTTGCCAAACAAGCCGCTGTATTTTCAGCTTTTTGATGTCAAAAACACTCATTTAAAAGTGATGTTCTATAAGTCATTTTTTAATTTGATATACAATATTCATATTTGCCTAGGACATTCAGGGCAATTCTCACAGTAAAATAGCTCAATCTTCAAATTAATTGTAAGATTTATTAAGTCAAAAAGTAGGAAGAAACATACAGTACGTAACAAAGGTGGTAGTTTTGTAATGAAATTTACAAAGCTTGTAAGCACAAACAGTGGCTTATCGTTGCAGTTACCATTATGGCTACTGTGATAGTCACATTAAACAGAGGCAAGGATCATGCTTTTTCTTCTAATCAGAGGATAAGAGAGAAGATATTTTAGGTGAGCATGACCCTGTTTAATCATCTCAAAGAGGAAAAATGCTGGAGATAACATCTAAGCAGCAAGGCAGTACTTGAACTATAAGATGATATAGGACCTGAATTGACATTAGCCTTATCTCCAGCTCAGGCTCTCTGTGCCCATATTAAAGTTTTTTGTGTTTGCTATTTTTCAGTCCATCACTACCGTACCTAATTGATAAAAATACCCATCTAAGTTTATAATTTTTGCATGGTAAAAATGTGATTTAACATAAGTTCATTGAAGATTTTCTTGAAGGATGTTTTTTTCTTCAGACAAGCCATGCTTATCAACTACTGCCTATTACTGTGGCTAGTGATATTGTTTTTTATGTGCCATTGTCAGATCCTGCTGGTAACAGAGCACATGCTCATACAGTGCCTTGCGAAAGTATTCGGCCCCCTTGAACTTTTCAACCTTTTACCACATTTCAGGCTTCAAACATAAAGATATAAATTTTTTATTTTATGTGAAGAATCACCAACAAGTGGGACACAATTGTGAAGT